GTGAGTTAAACATGCAGTATAAAAACTTCAACAAGGCTTTAACGTGTCACCTGAGAAAGCGTCATGCCAAAACCAGATACATTTGTTTAGATTTGAGAAAAAGAATCGTTGATGCTCACAACGCAGGAGATGAATATTCAAAGTTAGTATCACAGCGTGTATTATGAACTGGAGTGAGAAGTGTCGTCAAGAAATTCAGAGACACGCAGGACAGAACGAGCCTGGCAGAGGTAGGAAGTAAAAACTACTGAGATATGTGACGTCCAACAGTTGGGAATTGTAGCCTCAAAGGAGAGAGTCGCGAGAGGAACGGACTGCAGGACAGAAGCCTTCAAACGAGACTGAAGTAATAATGAGAACTTGGAGAAAGAGTCTGCATACTGGAAGTGCATCATTTGTTCAGTAAAGTGTAGCACAGCTGTTTGCTTTGCAGCCAGCAAAGCCAGCATATGAACTGCTGTTTTTTAAAATCCCCAGTCTGTAAACACTCGCTGACAAATAACAAGAAATGAAAAGTGAGAAAATAATGTGTTTATTTAATTTAAAAAAGAAAGAATAATAGATCAAAGAGGGAAAATAAATACAGTCGTACTTAAACCAGTTAAACTGTCTCTCAGGTATTTGATGTTCATCATGGTGCTGGTTACTGTGGTCGTTTTAAACTGTGTGGTCGTCCTCAACCTGCACTTCAGGACGCCGAGCACGCACGTCATGACTGAGTGGACCAAGAGGGTAAAAAACACACACACACACACACACACACACACACACGAAGCCTACAACATGTGATGTACATCCTGTCCAGGTGAAATGAATTGATAAAATATACCATTCAATGCACAAACATATTACACATTTTAAGCAGCAGCTTAAAGAATATTTCTGTGCATTTATTTTAAATATCTCTTGCACGTTTTAAAAACTTATTCACACTGACAGTGCTGAGGCAGCACAGCTGAAAATAAAATAATAAAGTAAAATTCATTCAAAAGCAAAAATAGGAGAATCAATATCAAGGTACATAACTACAGAATTAAATGCTACGAATATCTATTTATGGCGTGTTTTAGCATTAATTCAATGACTACATTTTTTAGAATATTTATGGCATTAAAATTCATTTGTTTATATTTGATTTACTTTTGTTTGTCCGATATATGCCAACTTAAAGTGTCAGCTCTCAGACACACTGCAGTGTAGTACTGTAATAGTGCCATACAGTAACAGTAATGTATTAAATATAAAACTTTCTGAGTTTTATTTAAATAAACACGTTTCTGTCCACGTCCAGTTTTTCCTCGAACGGTTGCCTCGGCTCTTGCTCATGTCCCACCCTGCGGAGGCAGAGCCGGCGTGGGATGGAGCGTTGCCGCGACGATCGAGTTCAGTGGGTTACATCGCCAAAGCGGACGAGTACTACACCGTCAAGTCTCGCAGCGAGCTGATGTTTGAGAAACAATCGGAGAGACACGGCTTCACCACTCGAGTCACCCATGCAGCATGTA